CCACACTAACCCCCCAGTTCGAACTAAGATACGCAACTTCAGCTACGTTATTCACGTAGCTGAAGTCGAAGTATCTTAGTTTGAACTACAAGATACTTATCGCGGGTCCACACGCGGCAGGCAGGCTCCCCCGTCAACTCCGCGTACTCCTCTCGCAGAGCAGGAGTACTGGTGTCGACGGCGAGCACTTCCGGGATCGATTTATAAATCGGTCCCAGAAGATCGATTGCTTACTGCCGAACCCGGAGGTAAGTATAGACGTACCCTAAGTGGAGACTTTTTTGCATCTTGTCTCACCAGTATGTGATACTACTGTCCCATTCTTTGGTTCAACATATTCTGGACTACTCATTGTACCTGAAACACCAGCTGTTGGCTGTTAGTTTGATCAAAGTACATGTGGCAGCTGTTTCAACCTTCAACCCAAAGGTGGATAATTGCTGTATTTTCTTTAATGACATATCCATAAGGTTTTTGAAAGGCCTAATCAAATTAGATCCTCAGGTGCAAGACCCTGTTCCTCTGTGAGATCTAAACTTAGTGTTATCAAGCCTTATTGGTCCCTTGTTTGAGCATTTGGCTACTTGCTCTCTGCTGCATCTATCAACAAAGGTGGCATTTTTGGTTGCCATCACCTTGGTCAGAAGAGTAGGAGAGCTGTGTTGCCTTAATGTCTGGGCGTCTCTATACTATATCCTTTAAGGACAAGGTTTACCTGTGTCCTCATTCGAGGTTCATCCCAAAGGTAGTGTCATCCTTCCATATCAGCTAGCCAATTTATTTGCCTGTGTTTTACCTGAAGCCACATTGGAGCAGGGAAAAGGAGTGTTTATATACCCTGTATGTCAGGAGAACCCTGGCAGGCAAACTTGATGGCTTTTTTTATTGCATTACAAAATTAGTTGCTAAAGGGAATGCAGTGAATGATGTTATTTAGATTTGATACTGTGACAATATTCATTTTTTTTTTTTTTAAAGGCCTAAAGGGACTGTTGTGATCGTAGAGTCAGACCTCCTGCATCAAATCCAATAACTTTCATTTAAACTGGAACAGATATGTTACAAAGATACCTAGGGCCAGATTTTCAAAACGGCACTAAGCACATCTAAAAATCTGTCCTCCAGTCGTGACTTAAACTCCAAGTGATGGAGTATCTACCACATGCTTTAGTAAATTGTTTCAATGGTAAAATACCCTCACTGTTGAAAATTTGTCTTATTTCCAGTTTGAATTTTTCTGACTTCTGCTTCCGGCCCTGGGATCTCATTATGCACTTATTTGCTACATTAAAGGGTCCTCTACTATTGGATATTTTCTCCCCCATATAGTTACTTAGAGACAGTGATCAAATCACCTCTTTGTCTAAGCTTTGAAACAAGCTAATACATTGGACTCCTTCAGTCTCTCAGGCAAACAGGTTTTCCAAACCGTGAATCATTCTTATAGAATCATAGAATATCAGGGTTGGAAGGGACCTCGGGAGGTCATCTAGTCCAACCCCCTGCTCAAAGCAGGACCAATTCCCAACTAAATCATCCCAGCCAGGGCATTGTCAAGCCTGACCTTAACCTCTAAGGAAGGAGATTCCACCACCTCCCTAGGTAACCCATTCCAGTGCTTCACCACCCTCCTAGTGAAAAAGTTTTTCCTAATATCCAACCTAAACCTCCCCCACTGCAACTTGAGACCATGACTCCTTGTTCTGTCATCTGGTACCACTGAGAACAGTCTAGAACCATCCTCTTTGGAACCCCCTTTCAGGTAGTTGAAAGCAGCTATCAAATCCCCCCCTCATTCTTCTCTTCTGCAGACTAAACTATCCCAGTTCCCTCAGCCTCTCCTCATAAGTCATGTGCTCCAGCCCCTTAATCATTTTTGTTGCCCTCCGCTGGACTCTTTCCAATTTTTCCACATCCTTCTTGTAGTGTGGGGCCCAAAACTGGACAGAGTACTCCAGATTAGGCCTCACCAATATTGAATAGAGGGGAATGATCACGTCCCTCGATCTGCTGGCAATGCCCCTACTTATACAGCCCAAAATGTCGTTAGCCTTCTTGGCAACAAGGGCACACTGTCGACTCATATCCAGCTTCTCGTCCACTGTAACCCCTAGGTCCTTTTCTGCAGAACAGCTGCCTAGCCATTCGGTCCCTAGTCTGTAGCAATGCAGGACTCTGCACTTGTCCTTGTAGACCCTTGTAGATCAGGTTTCTTTTGGCCCAATCCTCTAATTTGTCTAGGTCCCTCTGTATCCTATCCCTACCCTCCAGCGTATCTACCACTCCTCCTAGTTTAGTGTCATCTGCAAACTTGCTGAGAGTACAGTCCACTCCATCCTCCAGATCATTAATGAAGATATTGAACAAAACCAGTCTTCTCTGAGCCCTGTCCAGTTTTTTCAACATCATTTTTGAAGTGTGGATACCATGATATGACATGATATTCCAGTCTCACCAATGCTGTATGGAGGTAATATTACTCCTACCCAGTATTCAGCACATCTGCCTGATAACTTGTACAGCTTCTAGTCACATTAGCCCTCCTAGCCACTGCATTGAATTGGGAGCTTGTGTTCAACTGGATATTCTTTTCAGCATCTGCGTTCAAGGATGTGGTCAGCCATCCTGTAAGTATGAGGTAAAAATTCACCCAAAATTTCACATGCTGTATCTAAGTCCAGGGTTGAAAGTCTTTGGAAAGTTTGGGGCAAATTGGATAAAACATTTGGGTTAATAAATGAGCTTTTGGTTCTTGGAAATCATTCTAATGCTTCTTTTGGATCTTCACATCTTCAAAACAGTTTAATGTTAACATTCAAAACATCTTCCACTCTGTTGGTCCTGGAGAACACTGATGCCTATGATTGTCTGAGGAGATATTTAACTTTACTTGAAAAAATAATGGCGCACTCAGGTAGCGTGTGAGTTTGATAGCCGAGTGCGGTGTCAGTGCATTATTTGGATGCATACCTTATACTAGGATCCGGAAAAAAGGTTGAATGAGAAGCAGGGGAAGATGAATGTGGGAATGACTGAAAAAAGGAGTTAATGAATGGTGCGGGAGGAAGGAGCTCTGAGCAGTGGTAAGTATCTGCACCAGGGAGGTGGGACTTCAGCAACTGGACTTGGAACAAGGGCATGGCTGGATAGGGTCTGTGGAAGTGTCAGGTAAGTGTTGGATAAATGCATTTCTGCATTGCATATACTAATCAAACTGATGCATATTTCATAACTGTCACATGGCCCCAATGTGAATAGCCGTGTGTGTGTGAGAGAGAGAGAGATGGGGTAGACACAAACACATGGAGGGGAAGGGATCTCCTGGGGAAGAGGGAAAAGGCACATCTGAATTTGAGGGGATGTCTAAGAACAATGGGTTCTAATTCCTGCTGACTTACAGTATCTACTGGGACTTCTGTCACCAAGCAATTCTTAAACATTTTTTAATACTTAAGGAAATTCCCAGACAAAAAAGTCATCAATCTGGAGTGAAAGTTGGAATGATCTTTGTATTAGTCAAAAATCCTTTAGGTGGCCTTTTAATTTTCTCAAACATTAACCTGGAAGTTCCATGGGCATGTTTCATTTTGCTAAAACCCCCACAAAATATTGAAAAGTCTGCAAATGAATAGTTAAGGCCATAACATACGTTACTCTGCCCCTGTAGTGGCACCCTGAAGAGTAGCCAGAGACTTAGACAGCCTTACCTTTCCATTGCAGCAGCAATCATTAAAACTTTTGGACACTATTAGGCCTGTTCTACACTACGGGATTAATTCGGATTTAGCAGCATTAATCCGAATTAACCCTTCACCCGTCCACACTACAGAGCCAGTTAATTCGAATTAAAGGGCCCTTTAAATCGATTTCTGTACTCCACCTCGACGAACGGAGTAGAGCCTAAATCGATTTTGTTAATTCGAATTAGGGTTAGTGTGGCCGCACACCACCGAATTACTGTGTTTAAATTAATGGGGTAGTGTGGCCGCACACCACCGAATTAATGTGGTTAAAAACCGAATTAAGGTGCTTAGTGTGGCCGCGCACAATCGAATTTATACAACCTGTTTCCCAAATTCGAATTATCTAAATTCGGATTAATCCTGTAGTGTAGACATACCCTTAGACAAATAGTGTCTTGGAGCCATGTGCAGTCCTTGGAAAAAAACTTTCTCGATTACTGATAAATAGCAGACAGAGGTCAATCATTTCCCCCTGTTTAAAGAGCCTATGTGCCACCAGAGATACATATGACCATAGCGCTAATGTGTCCAAACTCCTAGAGCAATATAATGAAATATGGCAAGGTTATGGAAACAATAAAAGTGTTGAGGTGATGAAGCATCATGTTTGGTATTCAAGGCACATGTGAAACCAGTTATAAAAGCATTCTCTGTACTTCTCATTTTCAACATTCTACTCAAACTGTACAAGTACAATACCTTCTCCAAAGAGGGGGCAGAGTTAAGGTGCTGATGATCTTAACTGCTTTTGCAGACATTCCAGCACTTCCTGGTCAGCTTTTATTGTGAAGTGGAACCTTAACCTGGAAATCCCAGGTTTTCTGTCCTTTTTTCACCCCCCAACAAATAAATAATAGATGAACAAAGTTTTTTGTCTGGGAATTTTTATTTGTTTTCCCATCATACCTATCTGCTTATGCACTTTCTAGGGTGCTGTCTTGTCTCCCATTTCTCATCTCTTCACCGAGCTAAGTGGATTTAGCTCTGACTCTCCCAAGAACTTGACCAGCCTGGTCCCTGGAGTGTGTCTGTGGCTCTTCTCTGATCTCCTCCAATCTGTCGCTCTTTTTCTGAGATTGAGAGCCCACAGCTGAGCACAGTATCCCAGGTGGGGTCTCCCCAGAGACACAGAGGGACTATCCCCTCCCTGCTCTGGGACATTAAGCCTCTGGTAGTGAGGATCCCACCCTGTTAATTTTGGTACATGTTGGGGCCTGCCCCATATGACACTCTCTCTTCCCCTCATCCCGGTCCCAGGTGCCGGATGTGTTCGCTGACGTTCTATTCCAAGTCGGAGATGCAGATCCACTCCAAGTCTCATACGGAGACAAAGCCACACAAGTGTCCTCACTGCTCCAAGAGCTTTGCCAACAGCTCCTACCTGGCCCAGCACATTCGCATCCACTCAGGGGCCAAGCCCTACACGTGCAGCTACTGCCAGAAGGCCTTCCGCCAGCTCTCCCACCTGCAGCAGCACACACGGTAAGGGTGGAGAAGGCTGGGGCCTTGCTCACTGCATGCTGCCGTCATCCCAGCATGCTGCAAACACACTAGGCTGGGATAGGTTTCAGAAAAAAAGAGTCCTTGTGGCACCTTAGAGACTAACAAATTTATTTGGGCATAAGCTTTCATGGGCTTGAACCCACTTCATCAGATGCATGAAGTGAAAAATACAGGAGCAGGTGACTGGGGCAGTCACTGTTTCCCACAGGCTGGGTATCTCCTCCACACACCAGTTCTGTAGTGGTGCTCCCAAACACGTGGGAACTGTTGCCACAGTGAAGGTCAGGACAGCCTGTTCTTAGGGGCATCTGAAGAGAGGTGATACTTCCCGTGAATCCTAGCCTGATGTTACCAGTGGGAGTCTTGAGTAGGTATAGGGCAGTCCACTTCCCCCTTACCCCCAAAACAGCTCTGCCTGTACCACCACCTGTCTTGCCATCCCTCTGCTATTCCAGTCCTGGGCTTCCCACACACAGCTCTGTCAATGCCCCTCAGTCTAGACTGTTCAGCTCCTCTCTCTGGCCCCCTGGTGCAGACAGGCCTTGGTGTCATACACCCTGGGGGCGTGTGGGTTCAGTCCACGTCTGGAGTTCCTATATGTAGCCAGGTAGCGTGGTGCTGTCCCACCCCCTTCGTGCCCTCATTCCATCCACACTAGCCAGATGGTGGTCGTGTCCAACTGCTGCTGCTCCTCCTCCTCTTCGGCAGGATCCACTCCAAGCTTCACACAGCGATTGTCAAGCCGCACAAGTGTCCTCATTGCTCCAAGAGCTTCGCCAACACGTCCTACCTGGCCCAGCACCTCCGCATCCACTCGGGGGCCAAGCCCTACAGCTGCCGTTACTGCCAGAAGGCCTTCCGTCAGCTCTCCCACCTGCAGCAGCACACACGGTAAGGGCCACAAGAGGCTGGGGCCTGGCCCTGTCCCCGCCCCCCACTGCCGGCATGCACCTGTGGAGTACGCGCGCCGAGCATGCGGGGGGCGGGCAGGGGATGCGGCAAGCTGCACCCCCAGGAGGACGCGGCCCACCAGAGAGAGGATGGAGTGGAGGCTGCGCAGGAGACACTGACCACGTCAGGGCAGAGGTTGGCACATTCTGGCCTTGGGGGATCCTTGGTCTTGCACCATGGGGGGCACAGAGAGAGAGACATTGGTCATGAGGGATCCCAGCCTGGCACTATGGGGGTTGGGCACTGAGACTGAGTGTGTGGAAGCTTTCCCTGGCATTGCAGGGGGCGCAGAGACACAGATATCACCCTGAGAGGCAGAGATTTTGTGTGTGTCCTGAGCAGGAGCGTGTCTCCTGGCACTGTATGGGCAGAGATGCACCTTAGTCATGTGGACGCCTATGCTGGGGACAGAGAACCTGAATATACAGCCACTTCTCCTGGCACTGCTACAGATACCAAGCTGGCCTGTCACTCCTGTCCTTGTCATCCTCTGTACCCAGCCTGATCCTATATAATCTCTCCAGTTTCTCTTCTAGCTGGGCATAGGAACAGAGCAGGGCCCCCTTGTCTCAGTAAGGTTATAGAATAGTGTCTGCGGGTAGCATCGCACTCATTCCTGCTTGAGTGGCTATGGGATCTTGTCAGGGCATCAGGCCATGGGGATCCATTTTGGCTTCTTGTTCACTGCTTCCTGTTTGTGCTCTTCCTCCCTGACAGCATCCACACTGGGGACCGACCCTACAAATGTGCCCACCCAGGCTGTGAAAAGGCTTTCACCCAGCTCTCCAACCTGCAGGTAAGGGTGTGAGCTCACCCCAAGCCCCAGTGGAGGAAGCACACAAGGCTGCAGGGGAGGAAAGCAGAGAAATCCAGGGAGGCTGCTCCAGGTGTGGTGGAGTTGTAGCAGAGGAGGAGACTTGCAACATTGCCACCCCCCTCCCCCCTAATAAAGCCCTATAATATCATGAGATTTTGAAAAATGTTGGGTTCTTTTCATTTGCTGTCTGGCTTTTGAGGTCACATGTTCAACCTTTTCTTCCCTATGATACTCTGGAGCTGGGGCTCTCAGGAAAACATCAGATATCATGAAACTTGTGGTAAAGTCACAAGAGCTGGTAGCACTGCCCTTGCCCCCATGGTGTGGAGGGAAAAGAGAAGAGCTGGGGGATCAGAGATGTCACGGGTCATGGGCTGGGCTGTTGGCTTCTTTAGTGCCCTGGAAGAAGGGGTGAGCAACATGTTAAGGGAGGTCATAGGCGACACTAAATGGGGAGGAGCTATAAATAACAAGGAGGGCAAGGAATAAAGGGGCTGTGGAGGAGGAGTTCGGTATATAGGGTTAAAGTGAATCAGGCAGTGGTGAGAGCCTAGGAGAGCAATGTGGGATGTAAGAAAGGAGTTGAGAGGAAGGGGATGGGAGTAGGGAAGGACAGAGGAGAGGGGTAGGAGTGGAGCCTGCTGAGGGTTGGGAGATTCCCCTCTTCAAATACAGCCAATGAACCAGCAGGAGGGAAACTGGGACGGTGGGGGACAAGAACTGAGCGCTCTTCCCCAAGGAACGAGCCCAGAGCCCAATCACTTGGGATACTAGGAATAAGGAGGCCTGTGGCCTGAGAAGGAGTAGGTCATGAGGGGGCATCTTCAGATCTAACATCCAATTCTCCTCCCCCCACTCTCTCTCCCGCCTTCCTCCACCCCTCTGCAGTCCCACAGGCGGCAGCACAACAAAGACAAACCTTTCAAGTGCCACAATTGCCACCGTGCGTACACAGATGCTGCCTCGCTGGAAGTTCACCTGGCTACGCACACAGTGAAGCACGCCAAGGTCTATACCTGCTCCATCTGCAGCCGGGCCTACACGTCAGTGAGTATCACTGAAGGCAGAGCAGGCATGGAAGTACTCCCCCGGTGGGCAGAGATTTAGTCCTCATCCCTGAAGAGGTGCTGGGTGGGAGAGGTCTTGAGATCTGTCCCCAGTGGATCATTGATACCTGCTTTTCCAGGAGCTCGCTCTCACCCTGATTCCTTCCTTCCCCCTCACAGGAGACATACCTGATGAAGCACATGCGGAAACACAACATCCCTGACCCACAGCAGCAAGTGGCACAGGCCCAAGTTCAGGCCTCCCAACAGCAGCACTTCCAGCCGCAGGGTGGTGGGGCAGCGGGGGGCCCTTCTGGAGACACTAACCCCCCCAACCCTCCATCCCATTGCTCCTTTGACCTGACCCCTTACAAGACTTCAGAGCACCACAAGAACATCTGCCTCACTGTCAGCACCAGCACCATCCAGGTGGAACATCTCTCCAGCTCCTAAGAGAGACTTTGACCCAGGGAGCAGAAAATCTCTCGTGCATAGCCTATGCCCAGGGGTAATGCTTGTGCAATGGCCCCTCCTTGTGCAACAGCCTCTGGCCTCTCCTTGTGCAACAGCCTCTCCTGGCAGTGTACCCTGTTAATGGCAGCCCCTGGAGTGATAGCTTGTCTTCACAGGCATCTTATGCAACAGCCTGCTCCAAAGAGGGGATACTCTCACCTGCAAGAGCCCCCTTTCTGTGCTGGGAGCCAGCTCCTCACACACGAGCCTTTGAGTTCACACACACAAGAAAGGCCTAATTTTTGCCTCCTGTATAATTTTAAAATGTGTCTTGAAGGCTGGTGGAGGGGGCACCCTCTGGGCCACACGTGGCGGGATGGGATGGAAAGAGGCTGTTTTTGTGCAGAGGGGCTTGGATGCATGCTGGCAGCAGGGCATTGAAGGTTCTGACAGGGTTCACTGTGTGGGTTTTTTTTAGGATTTTCTAATGTGGCTAAAGGAAAACATTCATTCCCCTTTCCTACTTGTGAAAGTGAGGAGGGGTCAGTTCTCCAGCCCCAGGCTCGGATAATTTCCCTGCTCCCTGGGTGAAAGGGAGAACTCTTGGGGACGGGAGATGATGCATATTCCCTGGGTTTGACATTTCCTAAGCTGTTGGAGGGCTGCAATTTCTCTTCTCCCCCACTGGAGAACACGGGCAGGGTCTGTGTCTGGTCCAGCTGCCCTGTCTGCCACCCAACTGTAGGAGAGAGACCACCCCACAGAGATCCAGGGGAGTGGGTTCCAGGTCACTGCTGGGCCTTCCCTTTGTGAATAATGCAATAGTAGCTCAGTCTCCATCTCCCCCCAAAAGAGTCTGCGGGCAGCATCAGGAAACCAAAAAAGCAGTGGGAGGATAAGAGACTGCCACAATGCTCATTGCCCACCCCTCCCATGTCCCCTTCCCAGGAACGAGGGGCAGGGGTTCTGACCCTCACCCTTCCTCCACTCAATTCAGCAGTCTGGCTTCTGGTTCCCAAAGCAGGAGGCGGAACAGACCAGCCTCTTCAAGGAGGCAGGAAAAGGCTAATTCCTCCTGCTCGCGTCTCACCATGGGCATTCTTCCAGGCTCCCTCTTGCCAAGACGGGCTGGACTCACGTGGTAATGGTGGCCTCTTTTAGAAACAGGACCAGATGGATTCCCCAGAAGGTGGACAATTGAGGGAAGGGAACAGATACCCCCACAAGGAGAGACCAAACCAATGAGAAGGGGGAGCCGCCAAGAATAAACTGAAAGCCCCTTGAATTTATTAAAAAAAAATCTATTTCCTACCCCTGGCCCGCTCTGTTCTTGCTGTAACTGTTTCTATCTCTGTGTTTATAAAATGCATTATCCAGGCAAATTTTTATTTTCAATCTTTGTGTCCCCCCCCCCCCTCCTCTTTCCGTCTTTGAGTTTTTTTCAACACCCCCTTTTTTGGTCCATATGGTTTCTGGATTATCATGTAATTATCTGTCTGGCTTTTAATTGGATCATGAAGGCTGGCTCAGAAGAAAGAGAACAAGGAAGTAGGAGAAAAATTATTTATTGAGATTAAACCCAAAAACCCCAAGATCCCAAGTTTCTGTATAAACTACTGCGGGAGGGTGGGTGTTTTACAACATTGTATAGAAAGAAATTGGTGTAAAAGGCTTACTGGGGCATGGAGGTGCTGGTGTGAGCATGAACATCTTTCTGCCCCATGCACAAGGTAAGCGGGCGAGAATTGTGTGTTCCTTCCTGTGTCCACCAGCGTATCTATGTGAGCAGCTGTATAAATGTGCGTCTCTGCCTTTGAGTATGAACAATTCTGACAGAGAGGAACATACTCCTCCCTCTGTGTGCTGGGCATGAGTGGGCTGGAGTTGTGAGCGTTATGTCCTTATGCTCCTATGCATGCATTGTATCATCAAAATTTAGTCCGGAAGGGACGATTAGATCATCTAGTCTGATCTGTATATTGCAGACCATTACATTTAACGAGTTACCCCTTTGTGGTGCTCAATCACTTTTGTGTTTGGCTAAAGCCTATCTTCCAGAGAGGCATCCATGCTTGATCTGAAGAGGTTCTACCACTTCCCTTGGTAGTTTGTTCCACTAGTTACCCTCAGTGTTAAAAATTGTGCCTAATTTCTAACTTAAATTAGTCTAGCTTCAGGCTCTAGCCAGCAGTTCTTGTTATGCCTTTCTCTGCTAGATTAAAGACCCCTTTAGTACCCAATATTTTCTCCCCATGAAGATACTTTGATACTGAAATCAAGTCACTTCAGTCTGAGAAGATAAACAGATGGAGCTCGTTAGGTCTGTTACTGTAAAGCATTCTCCACAGCTCAGAAATCATATTTGTGGCTCTTCTCTATGCTCTGTCCAGTTTCTCCACATCCTTAAAATATGGACTCCAAAACTGGATGCAGTATTCTGGTATCAGTCTGACTAATACCGTGTACAGGGGTAAAATCACCCCCTTCTGCTCGGTACTCCCCTGTTTATATATCTAAGGATCTTATTGGTCCTTTTTGCAGCACTGGGAGTTGCTTGTCTATTATGACACCTAAATCCCTTTCAGTGCCCCTGCTTTCCAGAATACAGTCTGTAGATGTGAGCAATCATTCCTTGTTCCTAGGTGTATAACTTTGCATTTGGGTGTATTAAAACACATTTTGTTTGAATGGGCCCAGCTTACCAAGCAATTCAGATTGCTTTGTAGAAATGCTCTGTCCTCATTCTGACAATCTTTGTGTCATCAACAAATTGTGCAAACAGTGATTTTTATATTTCCAGATCACTGCTGAAAATCTGGCCTAGTAGCAATCCCTGTGGAACCCCACTAGAAACACTTCTTTTCAGTGATAATTTTCCACTGCCAACTACTTTTTGAGATCTGTCAGCCAGTTTAACATGTGCTCTAGTGATATTATATAGTGCTATTTTTTAATCGGAATGTTCTTGTGCTGTACTAAGTCAAACACCTTACAAAAGGCTGTCTGATACATATATGCAGTTACCTTTATGAACCAAATTTTTAATCACAACAAAGAATGAAATCAGATTTGCATGACAAGATCTGTTTTCCATGAAATCATCTTGACTGGCATTCATGATATCTCCAACCTTTAATTCTTTATTAATAGAATCCTATTTTTAGTTTTTCCATTATTTTTCTTGGGATTGTTGTCAGGCTAACCATTCTATAGTTATTTGGGTCAATCCTGTGATATTACCCAGGATACAGTCTGCACTGTTGAACAGCTGTCCCCCCTAAATTCTCCACCCTGGGATGCCTTTTACACGGCTGTGAGAGCAACCACTCCTGGTCTGCTCACACACAGCCTCCAGCATGTAAATTACTTCCAGTTATACTGTATGAGTGCTATGGCCAGCCACTCATTAATACACTGCGAGGCAACACCAGCAAATTCCCAGTCCCAGACTTCCCCCAGAAATGTGTGTCTCGTACTGCCCAGCCCTCTCCTGGACAACACAAGCTCATATAAAGTCTGTCATTTATTAATAGGAAATGATATGCACAAATCCTGTTATCTCAAATGGAGTTTCCCAAACACTTGAATCCAAGCACACTGGTTTAGATAAGACAATAAAACAAGTTTATTAACTACAGAAAGATTTTTAAGTGATTACAAGTAATGAGGCATAAAAGTCAGAACTGGTTACAAAGAAATAAAAGGTAAAATGCAACTAATACCCAATTTAACAAGCGAAGTGAATTGAAAGCAAAAGTCTCTCTCACCACATGCTTCAGCAGTCTTACTGACTGACTTCCTTCCTCAGTACAAAGCAGTTTCTTTGTTTCTCAGGTGTTGCAGCTGCCGTGGGTAGAGAGAAAGGGAGCATCTGTTCCCCATTCTGGTATCTTTTCCTATTCTTTGAGAATCATCTCCAGCTGGGGTTCAGGAGACAGGAAGTCTGTGGGGACTGGAACCTCCAGCTGTTCCTTTTCCAAGATGTTAATTTCTCACTTACACCCTTTTTCCTGCCAAAGAATGGCCTCTCAACCAGGTGATAGTCCATTTGATTTCATTGACACCTGACTGAGGCATCAGTTTGCCTTTTGTCTCTGAGAAACTAGTTTGTACCTGCTTCCCCAGATTTGGGATGTCTTAACATTATACAGGCAGTCCTCAGACTTACGATACAATTAGTTCCTGAAAATCTCATCTTAAGTTGAAAACGTCGTAACGCGAATTTCCCATAGGATCAATGTTGGATCGAGTGTCGTAAAGTTGAACCCAACATCTTAAAGTCGAAACACAATGACAATTTATAAACGTAAGTGCCATTCGTCATAACTCAAATGTCATAAAGTCGAGGACTGCCTGTACAGTAGAATCTTATAAATTGTTGCCACACATATTTTGCCAGGACAATAATGATCAGCAAATTATGAGTCTTCAAACGATACCTCACAGGACATACTTTGTACAAAATTTATCATAGTTTTGTAAAAGGGGTGAATATAACGGTACAGACTGTCACACATCCCATGTCCCCTTCTTGAATATTGGCATAACATTGGCACTCCAATCTTCTAGAATTTCCCTGGTATTCTGAGAGTTATTAAAAAATAACCTTAATGGGCCAGAAATCTCAGCCAACCCTTTTAGGATTCTTACATGCAAGTTATCCAGGCCTGCTGATCAAAAAATGTGTATCCCTTTTAGAGGATATTTAACATCCTCCTTAGTTACTAATGGATTGGAAAGTACTTCATCATCATCATCATCATTACATCATCCTGTTTCTTTCCAAATACAGAACAGGAATATTTATTGAACATTTATCCTTGCCTGCATCATTAACAATTTTGTCATCTCCATTTAGTAATGGGCCCGTGCCATTGATTGGATTTCTTTTGTTCTTCTTCGAGTGCTTGCTCATATCAAATCCAGTTAGGTGCGTGTGCGCGCCTCATTCATGGATGTCGGAAACTTTTTCCCTAGCAGCTACGCATCGGGCCGGTTGGGGAGCCCCCTGGAGTGGCGCCAATATGGTGCTCTATATAAGACCCTGCCGGCCTGACCCCCCTTCAGTTCCTTCTTACTGCCCGTGACGGTTGTTGGAACAGTGGTCTCTTGTTTATCAAGTGTTCCGCTAATCCCTAGCTTTCTCTTATCTTCGTAGTTACCTGTGTTAGTTAATTGTTGATAGTTATCTTAGTGTTAAGTGTAGTTTAGTGGTTATTGTAGTGTTAAGTGTAGTTTAGTAGGGGACAGTTCCGCCCTTCAATGACTGCCCTGCGGGGCTCTGGGGCATGCCGTCCCAGGGCTTCAAACCCTGCAGTTCTTGTAACAAGCCCATGCCCATGGGCGATCCCCATGACTCCTGCCTTAGGTGTCTGGGGGAGGGCCATCAGGCTGAAAAGTGCAAGATCTGCAAAGCGTTCAAGCGCCGAACAAGAAAAGAGAGGGAAAGCCGCCTCAAGCAACTCCTCATGGAGTCCGCATTGCATCCCTCCCAAGACGTGCGACCAAGCACCTTGATGCGCAGTGCTTCCCCAATGGTACCGGCCACGGCGCCGCAAAAGATCCCGCGCCTGCCTCAGGACCGATGATCTCCCGGGCCCCAAAGGCGTCCACCCCTGCACTGCTCTCACTCCCCAGTTGCTCGAAAAAAGCAAG